TTGCTTGGGCCCCCACCTGAGCCAGCTGCCGCCCAGCCTGTACGGCCACGCCCACCGTATTTGCGTGTTGCCACTTGCAAAGTATCCATAGAAGAATACTCAAACTCAATTGCCCAAATTTTCTAGTTGTAAATGAAAAAAAATTTCAAAAATATTTATGTGGAATATTGGGAAGAAATTTAAAAAAAATTGTATGTAAAATTAATCTTTTCATGTGTGATATTTGGAAGTTGTGGGCTAAAACACACTGTTTTTCTTATTTTTTACCATAAAAATTGCAAACAAGGTATAGGAATGGCCAAATGGCTGAAAATATATGAAATTCTCTGCAGGCTCAGACTACAAAATGCAAATAACTATAGTGTGTTTGGGTCTTTAACTCTTTATTATATTTTGCTTATGATGGATTTTCCAGTTATATATAATATCTGGTGTGGTGATATCTCATTGCATGAATTGTTTAGTCATTCCTGCCATCATTGCAGGCTGCAGCTCCTTTAAATTGGACTCAAAAAAGGTTAAATGCTGGTTAAAATGTTGTCCATATGAAGAGATTACTTTGAAACCTTGATGACCAGTTGACCACCATGCAGAAAGTGGGTGGATATTGCAAGATCTTTGGCAACTTATCAGCAGCAAAATTTATGGCTTCAGAAGAGAAAATCTTGCCAACATATTTATATAGAAATTATTGCATTCTAGATATTTGACAGTCTTTGGCCAACTATTTAGAAAATGGTGGAAAATCTGAAAGACTGCAAGCAGCAGATGCAGTGAATAACAAGAACAATCATAATTCTAGAACTAAGCAACAGTTGCTAGGACATAGGGTTCACAATAGCTTTGTTGTTATGAGCACAGCACCATCTCTTGGCGGTCCGGGCGGCAGAATTGTGTCAAGCCTCACTCTACCTTGCCCCTCTCTCAAAAGATGGTGCCATGCATCTGGCTGCCAGATAGCTGCCAAATTATATGTGTTGAGTTCTAAGTGTTGCAGTCAGGGTTGGCAATGATTAAATCAAAATGATTAAATTATGTGATTAAATCACTTGCTTTTTTTATAAAAAAAATCATGATTTTTTTTATTTTTTTTTATTTTTTCATATATTTAAAAATATTTAGTGGCAGTGTTTAATTTATATTGAGGTATTGTTATTCATGGTTTAGTATAAATGTACTATGAATGACAAATTGGTATACAGCAATCCCTTGATTAGCATGGTTTTGAATACCGCGGTTTTGATTAACGCGAAAAAAAAATTTGCGACCTACCTTTAATCTACGCGGTGCCAGTTTTGATTAGCACGACTTTTTTTCACAACGCATCATTTTCCAGCCTCTAGCCAGAGGTGTTACGTTCGTAACAAAAGTGTTACTTTTTGCTTATTAGATCTTATGTTGTTACTTTTGTTATGACTTTTGGAAAAATTTGCCAAATGTTGTTACTCTATGAATTTCAGCCAATAATTCTTTAAATAAGGTCCCGTTCCGTAGGCACTTGTGCTGACTACAGAGTTGGTTTAACCGCGCCTTGTCTCGTTCATAACTCGAATGGTCAAGTTCGGCAACGTTCACCAGTAAGTGTGCCATGCCGGTGCTCTAGTTACTCGTTAGCCTTCAACTGGTCAAGATCGCTGCCATATCTACTGCTCATTTTTTATCAAACTACATAATTTTCCTTGATAAATTACCATCATAATTATGGACAAAAAGGGAAGAAATCTAAATCTAAGGAGAGAAAGAAATCTAATACTACTGTGCAATTGAAATTGGATTCGTTTTTCAGTAAAAAATAAATGTTAATTCATTCGCATTTCTTTTATTTATTTCCCCTATTATTTAGAAAAAAATATGATGAATTTTAGTGGAAAAAAAATTATTATGTAAATTTGCTATTTTTGAGGATTCATTATAATTATTCCCATATATTCTTAAGTTTGATTAGTGTGGTTTTGCTTAACACGGTAAAACTCGGGGATTTATTAACCGCATTAATCAAGGGATTGCGGTATAAACTTGTTGCCTTTAGTGTGTACTAGGTTCCAATAAATTGAATGTTTTTGGTACAGAGGCATCAAGAGTGCAATACATTGTAGTGATTGTACGTAGCTAGCAGCTTAGCTAATTCTTATAAGGCTAAAAGTAGTCTAACTATTTGACTATTTGTTATATTTTGATTACAATATACAATTTAAATGTGTTAGCTAGCTTATACAGGGTGGGGCAGAACTGATTGAACAGTTTTGAGGCAAAATAACAGAGTAATGGAGGTACATAAAGAAGAAAGTTTATTTTCCTCATGATTAGCATAACATACCAATACTATTTAAAATACTTATGTTTTGAAAACAATATCAGGAAGATGGGGTTTGTTAGCTGCATCACACTGTTGGAGTTGTTCTCGGAAGTTTCCTACAGCACGTTCACAGATATGGCGAGGTATGGCCATAACCTCTGCTGCAATAATCTGTTCCCTTAGCTGTGGTAGGGTGTGAGGGCAACTTCTGAACCACTTTCTTTTAGATGTCCCCAAAGAAAGAAATCGCAAATGCTCAAATCAGGTGACCTCGCAGGCCACTGTAAATCACCCCTCAGAGACACTAGACCTACGGGGAAACATGCGTTTCAAAACATTGAGTGACATTCGAGCTGTGTGAGCTGTAGCCCCATCCTGCTGGAACCACACGTCTCTCAATACTTCATTTTCAACAATGTTTTCCATCATGGGCTGCAAGAAATTTTGCAACATTGCGGCATAGCAATCGGAATTCACTGTCATGGTTACTCCCTCCTCTGAGAACGACTCCAACAGTGTGTTGCAGCTAACAGCCTCCAGCTTCCAGATATTGTTTTCAAAACATAAGTATTCTAAATGGTATGTTATGCTCACCTCTAGGAAAATAAACTTTCTTCTTTATGTACCTCCATTATTCTTTTATTTTACCTCAAAACTGCTCAATTGGTTTTGCTCCACCCTGTATATTGAGAGGTTGAGATTGTATTGACCTTTTAGGCAATTAGAAAGATTTTCCACCCTAATACGAGTATTCTAATTAAAATATTTAATTTCAATCCTTAAATATGTGAATTTAAAACTAGAAACAAAACAATTACAATTATAAGACTATATATAAAATAATTAAATGCAGTGAATGTATATAAAATATTTGAATTGTGCACACGTTTATTTCAAACAGTGTTAGCTTTTTTCATAACTTAAGTCTTGTTTCAAGTCGTATGAGGTTTGTTTGGTTATCGTTCAGTTTATGTTTAGTATTGGTTTATTGGTCTGAATTGAATGGGAACAGTGCAGTCAGTCACTCAGTCACTACTAGTCAGTGTGTATAGAAGGTAGAGTCTAGTAGATTTATAGGACATAAAACTAGTAGATCTATTGATATTGCTGTGCACTGTGCAATCAGCTACCTATCTGTTATGTGACTCTTCAATGTTTAGGAGATCTGCATTCCTGAAGTGTTTTTGTGTATTGAAGCCAGTTAAATGGTCAATATTTAGCTCATTACCTTGCTTCATACAAACTTCACAAAGCTAATGAATAGACTTATCAATATTTGTTTACCCAAAAATCCCTAAGTGGTAAACACCACCTTGGCCTGTTGGCCATTATTGAAGGCAATAAGTGCCCTTTTTAGCCATCCATTATGATCCATATACTGTTATTGTTAGTAGGCTAATTGTAACATAAAAAATAACACCTCAAAAGGACAAAAAAGCTGAAAAAATAAAAAAATAAATAAAAAATAAATAAAAAAAAATCATGAAAAATGAAAAAAAAAATCATTGATTTTTTATTTTTTTTTATTTTTTTAAAAAATCAAAAAAATCGCCAACCCTGGTTGCAGTGCATGGAGAGTAAGGGATATACTCTCAAAGTTGTTAGCAGCATTTTCTCATTAAAATTAACTGACAATGAATCTTAAAAATGGCTGGCAATGCTTTGGGCTATAAATCCATATATTGGTGATGCTGCTTGTACCCTCTGCACCCTGGCTTGACAAGGCCAGCCTGGCCAGGAAATGTAAAATAGTATACAAGCGATATTCAAAATTGATAAAATATCATTTATTTTTTGAAGAAAAATTACATATTAGAAGCTGATCATCAAATCATGCCTACTCTTATTCAAAAAATTATTTGAACATAGCATTCTTCTACTTGTAGTATTATTGTTGAACACTGACAATAAAAGCATGCATTTTTATTTCTTTCCCCAAAAAAACAATTTATTCATTACCATAACTTGTCATGAACACTAATTCAAAATTATATCATTTTTGAATAATGTAACTTGTAACAACAAATTGTAATGTGAAAACAACTTTCAGGACTTTCATAGCGAAGGAGTAGTAGCACTGAAGTGCTCAAGAAATTTGGAAGTAAAACCTCAAACTAAACATCTTCAACAATCAAGCCAGTGGTGACACCTATCCAGGCTATGCATGCACTAGCTCAATAATCACATGATCACACTACAAAACAACAAAAATTTTCTAACTGTGGACCAATCTTGCACTTGAAAGGCCAATCTTATCCCAGATGACTGGACATAAATTGCAGACAATTTAGTTAGGTATGGTACTATAATAAATATTATGGTCTTGAGCCATCCATTGCATAAGCTATGTTCAACAGACTGACAATGCATTGATTTTGTAATTCTGTATTAATGGTGAATGATTGGAAATATTATGGTTGGTTTATGATAAAAGCAAACCAGAAGATAGTTTGGAAATAGGAATGTGTTTTGTTCACCTCTAGTGCAATAGAAATAAATCTGCAATTACAGCAAGATTTCCTTAATGAATTTGCAATTAGAATTATAGATTTATCTAAATGGAAAAATGATTTTGTAGTTGTAAGCTGATGCTAGTCATGAAAAAGTCCAAATAATTCCATAAGATGCAAATCCTTCTTGGATATGCTTATACTTGTAGAATAGTATTAATTTTAGGCTATCTAATGCATCTACATATTTCATTTACAGGCTATTTTGTTTGAAGTTAACAGTATTACCTTCAATTAGTGCAAAAGTTCTAGGCTTCACTTAAGTTCAGGAGACACATTAGCAATTGCTCTGCACAATGGTAAGATTTTAAAAATTACTACTGGATCATGTTTAATCAGAACCTTCTTTATATTTTATTGGTTGTTGATTAAAACTATGAGTGTTTGAAAGCTAGATGAAGAATATGCATGATGAAAATGGTAAATGTTGAATATATCAATCATCTAAAGTTTGTGCATGTAGTCCACATTATTGTCACCCCATCATCACCACCACCACCATCCTACCAGCACCCTTGTCACCCCATCATCACCACCACCACCACCACCATCCTACCAGCACCCTTGTCACCCCATCATCATCACCACCACCATCCTACCAGCACCCTGGTCACCCCATCATCACCACCACCACCACCACCATCCTACCAGCACCATTGTCACCCCAACACCACCACCATCCTACCAGCACCATTGTCACCCATCATCACCACCACCACCATCCTACCAGCACCATTGTCACCCATCATCAGCACTACCACCATCTTACAGCACCATTGTCACCCCATCATCAGCACCACCACCATCCTACCAGCACCATTGTCACTATCAGCAGTCCCATCCTACCAGAAACCAATACCAATGTCACCCAACATCAGCACCAGTACTATCGTCACTATTGCTACTTCCACCCTCGTCTACCACCACATCACCCGTCCCTCACAGTTGGTGCTAGTGCTGGGGGACATGCACATCCCGTACCGGGAGAGCTCCCTGCCGGTCAAGTTCAAGAAGCTGCTCGTGCCGGGGCGCATCCAGCACATCCTGTGCACAGGCAACCTCTGCACCCGCGACGGCTTTGACTACCTCAAGACACTCGCCGCCGACGTGCACGTCGTGCGTGGCGACTTTGATGAGGTAAAGGGTACTGTGCTCTAGCTACTTGCCTGTGTTAGGTAAGAAATTAGCTCATATTGCTGCACTAGAAACTTTGATGATTAGGACGCTGTAATTCCGCTTGTTTTGGGTCTATAGTTCCATTGAAGAGACGATATTGCTGCTCTAGTCTTTTGATATATACTATTAGATGATAAGCGACCGTGGTTCAAATACTCAGTGATCTTAGGATATTACTGCCATAGTCTTTCTTATGATAGGAGTATATATTGGATGTTATGCGCTCGTGGTTCAAATACTCAGTGATCTTAACTTGATCAAAAAGACTAAATTTATATAGGCTTCGGTTCATAAATAACTTCGTTATGCAGAGCCAGTACCCGGAACAGAAGGTGGTGCGCGTAGGCCAGTTCCGCATAGGCCTATGCCACGGCCACCAGCTGGTGCCATGGGGGGACCCAGCGGCGCTGGCACTGCTGGCCCGTCAGCTGGACGCTGACATCCTCATCACGGGGCACTCGCATAAATTCCAGGCCTTCGAGGCCGAGGCCAAATTCTTCATCAATCCAGGCTCCGTGACGGGGGCATACAGCGCGCTGGACAGGTGGGTGACGGGGGCATACAGCGCACTGGACAGGTGGGTGACGGGGGCATACAGCGCACTGGACAGGTGGGTGACGGGGGCGTACAGCGCGCTGGACAGGTGGGTGACGGGGACGTACAGCGCGCTGGACAGGTGGGTGACCGGGACGTACAGCGCGCTGAACAGGTGGGTGACGGGGGCGTACAGCGCACTGGACAGGTGGGTGACGGGGGCGTACAGCGCACTGGACAGGTGGGTGACGGGGGTGTACAGCGCGCTGGACAGGTGGGTGACGGGGGCATACAGCGCGCTGGACAGGTGGGTGACGGGGGCATGCAGCGCGCCTACGATCAAATGAGATCAAGTTCTTCCCTCCCTCCCTTCAGTGCCGCGGTGCCCTCGTTCAAATTATTGCCTCCCTCAGTGCCGTGGTGCCCTCGTTCTAATTATTGCCTCCCCTCAGTGCCGTGGTGCCCTCGTTCTAATTATTGCCTCCCCTCAGTGCCGTGGTGCCCTCGTTCTAATTATTGCCTCCCTCAGTGCCGTGGTGCCCTCGTTCGTCCTCATGGACATCCAGAGCTCGACCGTGGCGACGTACGTCTACCAGCTCATCGACGACGACGTTAAAGTCGAACGCATCGAGTACAAGAAATCTGTGTAGTGTTTGAGACGTCTGTGTGTGAATCATGTGAAGTTTGTGTGGCGTGGGTACTGTGTAGTGTGTGGCTCACGTGGCTGGGTCATGTGTTGTTTGTGTGCCTTCTGTGTGAAGGGAGTCGTGTGCAGTGTGTGCTGCCAGTGTGACGTGTAGTGAGTATAACTCGAGGGGAGGCAGGAAACGTAATGTAGAGCTGGTATTTCTGGACGTTACTTCGTTCTATTTTGTAAGTGGAGTTTGGCCCCCACACACTCCAGTGAGTTATAACGGAGATTCGCTATCGCACTCTTATGGATAGACAAATTCAGACACCAATTATTATCAGGTTCGCAGTAGGAGTTGACCGAGAACACACGAGTCATATTAAACCTGGTATTTTAGGAGTACATTGGCAGCGTATTGTTCCATATATTCCAGTCATTATAATATAATGGCAACACAATTATCTATTATCGTTGAGATTTTCCAATATATCTCGTGCGGGGAATGAAAATTATGCTATGGACTACGCGTTGAGTGTAGTAATAAGATCCTTGTGGTTCACTATACCTAGCGAACGCACGCGCTTAATGGACAATGATTATCTATTAAAGACCTACCACTCATAAGGTCAAGCCACGTGCGGATTGATGAGGTAAAACAAACTCATGTGCTTCAAGTATATTATAATTCCGATTTTTATGTCCATAAATTATTTAGGGAGGACCAGTTAATTCGTGCGACTGATGACTACGTAGCCTGCGTGGCGAGAGCAGACCAGGGGCAAGAATTACTGAAGGCGTTGTTATGTTATATCCATTCCTTAATTTATTTATTCAGGCATGTGTCTGGATGCTTTGTAAATGGGCATCCTCTGCGTGTCAAGGCCAATAATTCGGCGTGAAGTACTGTCAACAGATATCACTTGAATATTGTCAGCTCCGAGACCAAATGTACGGTTCTCATTCTAATATAATGCGTTAATAAAGAGTTTTTCAAGATTTCACCCGTTTTGTTATTCTGTGGTGTTGGCAGGTATAAGCCGGTTGCAAGTTGAGCTACATTCCGAACTTATTATTTTTTTAATCTCGCCTTTACTACCTTACGACGTCGCCAGTAAATGACCACTTGACGGGCGTTTGCTATCTAATTAACGATCTTCGACTCTGTGCTCCTGCTATGCACTTATTGACTCTTTGTGATATTATAGTCTTTGTTATCGTCCTGCTGGTTTGCCGCGTTGTTGTTGGAGCTCTTGAGGCCCCTGGCGTAGACGAAGAGCTCGGCAGAGTTGGACCTGCTGCTGGGGGGCTTGACGAGGCGCGCATCCTCGTACAGCAGCGACAACTGGCGCAGGAACTTGTCCACCTCCCCACCAGCCCAGACCTGACACACACAACACGGTAGAACAATTAACACGGGACACGTGTTGCCTTACATGGGCCATGTATGCATTTAGATAACATGAACTAGGAGATATTAAATTATTATTCACACAGAACACGTTAGCACAATAAACATGGGACACGTGTTGCCTTACATGGGCCATGTAAACATTTAGATAACGTAAACTAAGAGATATTACATTTTCATTCACGAGTTGTTGAGATAAAGAATGTATATAGTTAATAATCTACGATTTCTCTTATGTTAATAACAATACATGAAAGTTATTATATTCCTTGATATTGAGTATGAACGCCGTTAGCTTCACTGACACGTCGTGAGGAGACGAATGACCGCACCGAACGCGATTATTCGCCAGGAAAATTCAACAGACTGCAGCAGAGTTCATTTCCACACACGCGCATATCAAGCTAGATAAGTGTCGTCAGAGCGCAAAGTGCGCTTAGCGAACAACTTTGGTACAGGGACGGAAGCTTGTCGCAGACGCGAAAAAACAAGATTTGCCGAGACACGAAACAGAGTTGGAGGTATTCACTACAGAAAGTCTATTTAATTGCGTCTATACCATGCCTTACGTTGTGACCAATGGCCGTACTATAAAAAATAGTTACGAGTTTGCAACTCCGCCATTCAATCACTGACGCCTTTTAACGCCTGACTCACCAATCGCAGACGAGAAATCAGCTGCTACGTGTAATTGAACGGTGTTCTGAAAGCACTGCCCCTGGCACACCAGGGCCTATACTTTCAAAAAAAAAGTTAAGAGATCGTAAGTTCATCAGCCAATCATTGACGGCCTTTCAAGCAAAATCCACCCCTCATAGACAAGAAAATAGAGCGTAAGTACTCACGTTCACTTAGCGAATTATGAAAGTATGGCCCCAGTTCAACACGGATGCCCACCTTGCAGAGGAAGCAGGAGTGCGGCGTGGCGTGGCGCACAGCGAAGTGCGCGGCGCAGACGGCGAGTCTCATGATGCGCGTGTGGTCGTGTTCCTTGATACCCGTGGCGGAGGGCGCCATGTCTGACAGCACCACGTCAACCTGGCAACCGACATTATTGTCATGGCTCATGACAACTTAGCTGGCATCATACTTGCATCAGAACAGTGTTAGAAATTTAGTTTATCCTCTTATGGAATGTCTACTACTGCTTCCTATTACACATGGGGAACAGGGCTTACCCCCTTGGGGAGGAGTTGCAGCACCCGCTGCTGGGTGTCTGGAGACGTGAAGTCCCCACAGACGAAGGTGGCCCCGGGGACGGGAGACACGGGCTGCAGGTCCACTGCCACCACGCATCCCGTGGGGGACGATGATTCTGTACAGGGAGGCCTGGTTGCACGTCGCTATAGGCGGTGTGTGCGTCAGGCTACAACGCACTGAATTTATTGCGTACCAAGTGAAGCGTGCCGAGGGAGAAGCATCAGCCGTACACAATATCTTCCGTTCTATCGTAGTTATATTGCGATCTTCCGTTTTATCACGACTGTTTATGTAATATGACATCGAGATGAGGTCAAAACAACGAAGGAATTGTGTAAGAAATAGGGATGATATTCACGGCGGATGCGCATCCTTGCGCGATGTAAAGTGCTTAGCAACAATAACTTTTTCTTCATGCAAGATCAATTAACCTTACGGTGATTATTATCTTTAATTGATCATCGAGCTTAAATTTTTTTCCTTATATTGTTAAATTAATAAATGTAAGCAAATGTAGGTGAAGTCAGCATGAAGGAGCTGGAGCACGAGCGAAAAGCTCATCGGCGTCCGCCTCACCTCGGTGCGCTCGCTCCACCAAACTGCCAAGTCTACTCCCAGCCAAATTACTGATGGGCGAATATATTACATGTTTTACAATAGAGAAAACTTTTCTTGGTTAGGTGACGTACCTACGTAAGGTAATTCGCCTTTCTTGGTTAGGTGAATGTTAGGTAATTCGTCATGTTGTTGGAGTGTACGGAGTTGCAGTGTTGGATAGCCACCGGCATCTAGACTCTTGTACGGGGAGGTGATGACTCACCGTACATGGGGGAGGTGATAACTCACCGTACGTGGGGGAGGTGATGACTCACTGTACGTGGGGGAGGTGATGACTCACCGTACGTGGGGGAGGTGATGACTCACCGTACGTGGGGGAGGTGATGACTCACCGTACACAGGGGAGGTGATGACTCACTGTACGTGGGGGAGTCTTCGGGGTTGCAGTGTTGCACGGCTACCTGCGTCCACGCCCCTGGGGAGGCGCCGCACTCCAGCACCGTAGCCCCCGCCCGCAGCAGCGACAGCCTCTCCTGCAGCTCCAGCAGCTTGAAGGCGCTCCGAGCCCTGAGGTGCACATGACCAACAGAGGTGGGCAGTAGCGTGCTACATGTAGCGGCCGCACATTTTCAGTAGCGGTAGCGGCGCTACATTTAAGCAATTGTAGCGTTAGCGGTAGGCCCGCTACATATTTAAGTAGCGATACGAGGTTTTGCCGCTACAGCGCTACCGCTACATTTATAGATAAAGCCTCTAGATTTTACTTAACAGTATTAAATATTATTTAAAAACCAGCATGATACATACATAATATAAATTACAGAATAAAACTGTACGAAAGATTTCGGTGTAATGTTGTCAACCTCAGCCTGTTACTAGTGTCAACATGTTAGTTGTTACCAGAGGTGGGCAGTAGCGCGCTACATGTAGCGGTAGCGGCCGTAATATTTCAAAATAGCGCTGCCTGGCTTTGCCAATATATAATATGTATATGGGACTGGTGTATGCAGCGCGAGAAATTAGCAGTTGCGGAACATTTGGCACGTTGAGTGCGGCACGATCCACCGGTGGGTTGCCGGGTCTTTTTTCCGGACAAACTCTGCAATTTCTTTTTTTTTTCAATTGCGTTGTCCGGCAAAAACTTATGATGGCAGTACTACCTCATTGAATTTTAAAATGTCCGAAAAAAATTAAAATTTGATTTTTACACCGGAACCTATTTACTAGTTTTTTTTTTTATTATAGGCCTTTTTACCCGCGGACTTGGCAGTTTTTATGCAATCTGCCAGCGCTGGTGTTAATGCACTTAAAGTATTAATGTGCATACGTTGGCATAAACTATACCCACTGTCGGCACAGACCCACCTAACTGTACGGACTGACACCACTCGCTTCAGCGGGCCAGAAACTTCCAAGCCCGGAATATATACTAAGGCTAATCGATCAATGTGCCCCAATGTGGTCACTGACCTATAGTTGAGGCGGCGCGCCTTGGCAACGTAGGGGTCGTTGAGCTGCCGCGTCAGCCAGTCCTGCGCGGTTCTGCTCTTCCCCCGCAGGTTCGAGGGCACAATTTTGTGCAGAACTCGACCCGCCTGCAGGCTCTGCACCGAGCACGTATGGATGCTGCACGCCGTCGCCACGCCGACTCTGACCGTCTGCACTGATGACGTCTGATCTCTCAGTTTCCTGTGTGGGGGGGTACGCGTGGACAGACAGCTGGACAGACTCTGAACTGAAGCGCAGCTCTGTATCGCTGCACCGCAACGCAGCAGCGTATACTCTGACGAAGATAACAACATCTCTGCGTCTAAATAACCTCAAACGGTCCTAAAAAATATAGTTTTACAGTAAACGCACAACTGTAGGTGGAAGGTAGAATTAACAGCCATTAGACCGACTGAACTTGATTATAACGATAACCTCTACGAATATAAAACGAATTGAACTGCAGGGGCGAGGTGACAGTGGGCTAGTTATCCTCATCAGTCCTGGGCAAAGCGTGGGTCCAGCAGGAGCCTCGCTGGTGTCTGCTGTGGGGTATCTACTCCTGCAGGCTGCAGCAGGGGCGAACATCGGATGTCACCGCCAGTGGTACTCCTGGGAATGTTATTTTTAATATAGCGGTTTCAGCGTTTATTAGGCCGTAGGCCTGTCGCCCATTCTTCACATTGCAGAACATCCACAGCATGTTGCGGGCTTGAACTCGCAACTCACTGCTTCACATTTTCTTAGCTTAACCGCCCGGCCTCCTTGCCGAATTCTGACCAGAAACTGGCGCACAGAGCTGGGATCAAACCCGCGCCTCTCTGCTCCATTCTTGGTACTGTGAACTTTTACCACTGGGTAACCCTGCCATTACTGCGTTGTGGACTCTCGTGTTCGTGTCTCCATGAGGGTATATAGTCGGCTACCTCATCAGCCTGACCGCATGGGGGCGTAATATTTTATTCTATAATTTAGACCACTGTCACCTAGGCCGCATTATGGTATAACGTAGACCCTGTCAGTTTATATAGGGGTTCAAATTAGACCCACCCTTGTAAGCATGACCGCACGAAGACGTAATATAGACTCCACAATGTAGCGCTATCCAAGATTGTCTCGCGGGCCTACATTACAGGCCACAAATGCCGCCCCCGTCCACTTTCACGAGACGCTGCACAGGAGCTGATTTCTTGCGGCCGCTTCTATATTTTCATCGTCAGAAGAGCTTGCTAGAAAAGCGTCTATTGACCAGTTTTAATCGCGAAGACGCGGAAATGATTTCCCGAAAACCGTTGCCCAGAATAACGAGATTCGCCATGCATTGGGATCGCTTGGGGCCCGGGGAGGGTGAGGTCCCCAAGGTGCGTTGAGTGGAACACTAGCGCACCTTCCCTGAGGAGATGATAGACGCGTATGCACCTAAAAATTGGGCTTCTTTAGACGAGGTTTAAAAAGAATACAAGGCAGTTAACATTCATTTATTAAAGATTTAAAGGTTTGTTTAACAAGAGCCAGGAGTACAATGTTATAAACAGGAGCAAGGTTGCATAAGTGACCATTTGATATTTTACAGTACTTGCGTCAGAAGAGCGTGACAAATAAACATCTGTGACGGAACGTGAACCCGCGGCTCTTCCCAACTCATCAGATAAACTGGTTGTATTGAGGATGCAAAAGGATTAATACTACTGGGTCAATAGCTACCGACAAACGAGACACTCAGGCTAGCTGGCAAAGTCGATAATAAATCCTATTGAATTTGACGGGACGGATCTATTTGTTATCGAGAGAACCCTCACCACATGGGCAGCTCTTAGGAAGTTCACAGCCATTGTTTGTTATATAAATACGCATCACAGTAACTGCATCATAGTGGCCCCAAGGCTACGGTTACCCTTAATTGCATGCAAAGCTTGCAATCAATTTAGTTCAATTTCATTCAATTAGTAGTAAATATAGTTCAACTGATCTCAATTGGCCCAAATATTTTCTAGGGAATTGATCGACAAGTTAACGACACTTTTGTTGAGTGGGAGATGCTCAGTAGGGCGCGTGATGACCAGGCAGGCAGATCAAACAAAGACTAATCATGACCGCCATCGAAGTAAGCAAACTCGATATTTTATCAAACAAAAATTGTGACGCGGACCTTAATACAAGCTCACATCGTTAAAACATTGCCTTAACATAAATCTAATGCGTGGGCGCAATGCAGAATATTCATAGGCACCGTGACGTGTGCATCGTGTGCACAACAGCGGAAAGTGCTCCGCCACAACAGTATATATAAGGTGACCAGTATAGCTGTATTGTTTAAGGACAGTGCTATCGTCACTCGACAGTCGCGTGACTTGTTGGAATGAATAAAACTGAGAATTACAAATAAGTTACAAAATGTACATAGATTACAACTCTTATCCGAACGCTACCAGTAAACTACTCGTGGCAAGTCCAATAGACGCTCAGTAAACAGGCATGGAGTTGTCAACCAACTCGGCCCACCGAGTGAGTCCTCCAGCTACATCCTGCACGAGGACCTCTGTTGAATCCTTCAGCGCCACCTTCAGCTTGAGGACGGCACGCTGAGAGTCGTTGCCACGGCGACACAAGCACACGACGCGGGCGCTGGCTCGAGCTTCCAGTGCGGCTGTTATTGCACTAACGCTCTCAGGCTTGTCAAGCTCTCTTAAAGGAATATTGAGAGCGTGGCTGAAGCCACATATGGACAGCTCCACAGGCTCCCTCACGTCCACCAGCACGTGGGGCTCCCCCGTCTTCAGGAGCTCCGAGTACTCTATCACCGACATCCTGTGCTCCGGGGATAAGAGATGCAAGTCCGAGTCTTTATCTGAAGCAGGACGTCCTCCGCAGAACTGCACGTAGTCCACGAGGCGGGTTACCGTGGGCACGTCTCCGCACACGGCACATGACGGCTGCCGAGGTCGTAACTTCACGGTCCTAAAGCACGTCGAGTAGCCGTCGAATACGAGCAGCTTTCCCGACAGCGGCTCGCCGATGCCGGCGATCATTTTGATTGCTTCAAGCGCCTGCAGTGACCCGATGATCCCAGGGATCACCCCCAGCACGCCTCCGTCAGAGCAGTTGGTTACAGTCTCGTGGGGTGGAGGAGACGGAAACAGACATCGGTAACAAGGGCCCCCCTTGAAGTTGTATACCGTGAGCTGTCCTTCGAGACGGAGGGCAGCGCCCGACACCAAGGGCTTTTTGCTGAGAACGCATGCGTCGTTCAGGAGATAACGAGTAGCCACGTTGTCGGTGCAGTCCAGTATCAGGTCATATCCGGCTATGACGTCCAAAGCCGTGCCACTGTCCAGAACCAAATCGTGTACATGGACGTCTACTTGTGAGTTGAGCGAACGAAGGGCAGCCGCCGCAGACTTGGCTTTGTGCACGCCAATTCGTTCCTCCGTGTGGAGGATCTGACGGTGGAGGTTGGTCGACTCGACCACATCGTAGTCCAGGAGACCCAGCGTCCCCACCCCCGCCGCAGTGAGGTACTGAGCTGCGGGACAGCCAAGCCCGCCAGCCCCTACCACCAGCACCCGGCTCGCCTTCAGGAGGCGCTGGCCTCCCATACCTAACTCCGGCAAGATCAACTGGCGAGAGTAGCGAAGAACCTCCCCGTGGGACAGCGTGGCTGCGGAGCAACTGCCGCTGTGAGGACAACCTTGGGTAGAGGTGTCAGATCCTGATGCAACAACTGTTACACCATCAGCTGCATCACTTCCGCCAGCTGCGTCACTCCCGCCAGCTGCATCACTCCCAAGAGCTGCGTCACTAACAGCACCAGCCGCGGAATGGTGTACAGCTGACAATCTGCAGCGCAGCTCCGCAACCTCACGCTCCTTCTGCTGCAGCGCAGCCTGCAGGGCCTCGACCGAGTCTGCAAGCAACGAGGATATGCAGTCAACAGCGGCTTATTGGACCACATCGAGACCGTCATAATAAGCAGCTTATTCCAAGGAGCTGCTGGTGCATGGGTGAGGTGATTATAGAAGGTGAGTGATAATAGATGTCGAGTTTGATTATAAAGATTAAAGAGTTTGATTATCGAAGGTGAGTGAGATTATAGATGACGAGTGTGATTATGTAAAGTTTGGAACTCCTCGTTCATGGTAAAGCCGAAGTGCCATCTTCATCGTCCACCGTCCCTAAGTTGTCGATAGGCAGGTCGCTCGCCATCGTGGTCTGGAGATAACGTTCAACACGACTACCGCGCATCCGCCCTCATTTGAGCCAGCAGATATAAAATGCTGTTGCGTGCTCCTTGCTGAGATTAGTGGGGCACAGGCGGAAGATCCATGATAATGATCAAAAACGCATCAAATCGTCTCTTGAATGTCGCAAGGGTGAACTCCCCACCTCTCAGCTCCGTCAGCAAGGCATTGAACAGCAACGGAAATATATACCCCCAAATCATCTGAACTATAGTAGCAGCTCGGTCGTTAAATGGGGGTATGAAGAGCAGTTTCCCCACCCTCACATTGTGAAAGGTCATTATCCTGAAGATTGTACTTTTAAAGTTTGGATCCAGTGCCATTATCATCTTCCAAGTGTGCAGCACGATATGCCTCTCCGTCCTCCTCTTCAGTGAGTACAGTCCCAGGTGCTAAAACCTGTCCCAGTATCGCAGGTCCATTTCGCTGATCCTGGATGAACAGGTCAGTTGGGACTACCGCGCCCACCTTGGGCGGTGCCCAAAACTGGCAGCAGTATCCCGTATAAGGAGCACGAGGGCTCTAGAAAGTGTAATCATTGGCACCGCTTCTCTTGTCCGCCAGATCCACCCCATCTGTTGTCTTCCTTTCGGAACTTAAGCAGCGATGTGGTCATCAAACGTGGCTTCTGTACTTTTCACTGCGAAATGACGAACAAGTTGCTACGAGATTCTTTTGCTGCACGATGCCAAGTAACGGTGCAGTATCCCGACCTCTGTACCTATGTAGGTGAGTGATTATAGAGGGAGAGTGGGATGATCGAGGGTGAATGCGATTATACAGGGTGAGTATGATCATAGAGGGTGAGTGGGACGATCGAGGGTGAATGTGATTTTCAGAGTGAGTATGATCATAGAGGCGGTAATAAAAGCCTAAAAGGTGAGTTTAATAGGTTTAATTGGGGATTATAGAAGGTGAGTTTAATAATAGAACTTATGCGTTTTACATGGGAAGAGTTTCATGGTAGAGTGTGAATGTTATTATAGAGGGTGAGTATTATTATAAAATGCGAGTGTGATGGAGGGCTCACCTGTCATGCCTGGGCGCAACCAGCAGCGCGAGGAGGCAGGGATGGCGGTGGTATGCAGCGGTTTATCCCTGAGGTATGATGGACAGCTCGTGCAGTTTATCTCTGAGGTATGATGGACAGCTCGTGTAGTTTATCTCTGAGGTATGATGGACAACTCGTGTAGTTTATCCCTGAGGTATGATGGACAACTCGTGTAGTTTATCTCTGAGGTATGATGGACAACTCGTGTAGTTTATCCCTGAGGTATGATGGACAACTCGTGTAGTTTATCCCTGAGGTATGATGGACAACTCGTGTAGTTTATCCCTGAGGTATGATGGACAGCTCGTGCAGTAGTTTATCCCTGAAGTATGATGGACAACTCGTGTAGTAGTTTATCCCTGAGGTGTGATGGACAGCCCCACTAATGGGGCTGTCCATCATTCCCATAGACGCTGGGGAGGCCCGGGGAGCGCGTCATGTCATTCCCCAACAGAGCTCTGCGTCATGCCATCACTTGCAGGTGTCATGCCACATGTGTATAAGTTACACTCCCATTGGTTTATCACATTATGTCTGATACATGATCAGATGTCAGAATGTTACTTAGATGGAAGAATTTTTTTTATAATGACTTAAAAGTCAACAAGTTTGTCTACTAAGTCAACAAGTTTGTCTACTGTACACAGAGCTCTGTCCCCTGAAGGCTCCTACTTACACAGTATTCGTGCGTCCAGAACGGATACTAACAGCGGCCCTGGCCGTTCATACGCAGTTTTCGTAATTCAAAACTTGGTTTTCAGTGAAGACGCGCAATGGATAAATGGAAGACGACTTGGAAACAACGCCTTGTGGTGGTGTACATGTGATGTGCTGGTGTACATGTGGTGTGGTGGTGTACATGTGATGTGCTGGTGTACATGTGATGTGCTGGTGTACATGTGATGTGCTGGTGTACATGTGGTGTGCTGGTGTACATGTGGTGTGCTGGTGTACATGTGGTGTGCAGGTGTAGTTGCAGGACACAACAGTTGTAGACATAAATTCGTCGGTAGAGGGCCGCCTTCCGATGCATCGCTGGAAGCAAGAAAACAGCCGCGATTGATAGAGTTTACTGCGTTATGGTGAGCGCTATACAAGAACGGGGTCTATTAGGGGGTCTGGGGCTGGACCCATGCCTGGACCTCAGTAGCTGGGCCTTGCACCTGGACCTCAGTAGCTGGGCCTTGCACCTGGACCACAAGTGTGGGACTCGCACCGCCACAGGATCTGGGACCGCACTTGGTCACACATTCCCCTATTCCCTAGTGCGGGGAATGACCAAGAATGACCTACATTCCCCTCTTCCCCAGTGATGTGGAATGTTATTCCCCCTACAGCGCAGTCGTTCCCAAAGCTAATCCCACAAAGCATCGTGGGTTCTATTGACCATTAACACGTAATGACTAAACGTATTCAACACGTCTTCATTGAAACTAGCAAAAAAGAGCATTTTATAAACATACAATTAATTCATTATCACACAAAATATATGGTGATGATTAAAAGAGGGCGAATTTATAATTAAAAAGATCATTTTTAAATATCGATCGCGACAAGATAATATGTGCAGAAAATACAAAAATCACAGCAAAGACATAAGAACCTAACAGTTTTTCCTAACACAACACGAAAATAACTTGAAGAATACATGACAAACATATTACATGGCCGTACAAAACGCGAGTTTACTACACAATATTTTTCCATGCATTTTCATGAGTAGGCAACAAAACTAAAAACTTTTCCACCAAGTACATGTATTAAAAGAGCAAGCTGTTTATTTAGAATAACAATGTGTTTGTTTTGAAGCTTAGTTCCAGAACAGGCATCATGGAATTAAAGCTAACAATATGGATGTAATAATTGATAAAAATTATGATTTACGTCTCAATCAAGCATCACATCAGCGCAACGATAAGTTCTAAGGATTTCTGCCACACTAGCCTGTGTTATATTCAACGCACGGGTCAATTCAACAGTCCTGCCACATTAGCCTGAGTTATTTATTCAAAGAACAATCCTCGACGCAAGAACAATCATAATAAAATTACTCTAGATCGAAATCCCAGAAAGCAATATATATCTGCCATGAAGGAGCATCATCGATGCCGATACACCATAAGTCTAAACAAACACGATGACTGAGAACAGGAGGCGTTTGATGCACCCCACCCTAGACATGGGCCCAGAAAGTTACAGTGAGCGTCCCACTCTTAACATGGCGCCCAGGAAGTTACAGTGACATGACTCAAGCTGCATGTGCACTGAGTGGTAAGGGCGGGGAAGTAGGATGTCTTTTAAGCGATCGGTGGGGCGGCAGCAACAGTCTGTTGCTCTAGACGGACTCCGCCGTGCAGGAGGGTGTTCGCCGACGCTGGGATAGCTTGGCTTCCTCATAGCACCGGCTCGTTTGAAGCAATTTTCTATAAGAGAGGCCGCAGAAGGGAGACTGATGAGCAACATTCCTGGGTTTTAAAAGAGTCAGAGACGAGCAGGAAGAAAATGTAACGCGTCTGGAGGGCGCGTGTTAGGTGTGGAGATGATCGAGGCCAGCACGGTGAGCCTCAAGAGGCCAGCATGAGAGAAGAGTGGTGGGCCTCACGGTGGACTTATGGTGACTTGAGTGCTTACGCCGGAGACTGACGCTGGGGCGTCAGATGGAAGTTGCATGATTTAGAATTGTGCAAGTGATGGTTTGCGCTGTAGATGATCTTGTTCCACAAGCCTCGATGAGGCCGCAGGCAAAGCCAACAAATGAAAGCTATTTCGGCGTTTTCAATGTGACGCATTGGGCGCATTTAGTGACCACCGTAGCTGGTGAAGCTGAGAAAACATTATTACATATGAGACAGTACAGCTTATAGCAGAACACCTCACGACATGATATCTACTACCTATCCCCATAGAAGGATTCAAGCTACCTAATCTCACACATGCCGCAGGTTTAAGAGCATAGAAGGGAAGCTACGTCACATCACCGTCGAGGCTAATAAGGACTAGGTTGATCCTAAGGACAGCTTAGCCTGCAGTTCTGTGTTGTGGCTAGGCTATTGTTAATACAAATCTGACTTCGATGGAGGAATAAAGACAAGACCTCCGTTATTAATTAAGCGACCAGACTTTATTTTCAAAGATGAACTGTTAATCATCGATGGCATTAAGCAAGTTACAGGCGAGCTCTGGTATGCGTGATGGTGGGTGACGACCGCGGCAACATGAGAGAATGAGAGTGCTGACAGCACGTCATGTTAGGGTCGTTAACGATTATAATCATAATTATTAAATAACATAACAAATCAATAATTAAATACAAAGAGATGAGTCATGAAGAATGTGACTAATAATGCTGTAGGAGGAGCTTGGCGCTGCAACATTCAACAAAGAGACACCAGCAAATATTCAGAAAATTGTTATTATAAAATGATCTTTTTGGAGCGACCAGTGAAGTCTCCAGGCAACTAATAAACTTGGGCTTTAATACGAGAAGAGAAAATAATCTTAAATAAACCAGACCGCTGATTAAATATTTCATATCCTTTGCCGCACTGGAGTGATAACAAAAATCCTATAATTTAACAACCCGAAGGTATACCTATTTTTGTGTTATCTGTAATGTATTCAGACATGAGCGGCATACGCAGAATATTATAATGATGATGAGAAGAAATGATTATTAAGAACATGATGTGATAACTGAAGATACTAGAGAAATAATCACAGAAACTTATCAACAAATAAGAGCAATCGACGTTTGCTGCTGAAGCATAGCACAGCAACTGTTCAACACAGCAACAGGCAACCTCGACTGCCAACATTAGTGATCACTAACAATAATGCAAGATAACTAGACAGTTGACGCAGTTATGTAATTAACTGACATAGATTATAGATAACTAGGGATAGAACGCAGTAACTAAAGATGTCGAGATATACAGGTAATGAACTATACAAGACAAAATGAAGCACACAGACACGCTTCTGTATACAGGCTATACAACATCTGCATACAAGAGATGCTTGCAGACTAAGCAACAGCAACTACAGACAGTCCCAGCACCAGCAACTACAGACAGTGCCAGCACCAGTAACTGCAGACAGTGCCAGCACCAGCAACTGCAGGCAGTCCCAGCACCAGCAACTGCAGACAGTGCCAGCACCAGCAACTGCAGACAGTGCCAGCACCAGCAACTGCAGACAGTCCCAGCACCAGCAACTGCAGACAGTGCCAGCACCAGCAACTGCAGACACTTTGATCTTCATTCAAAAGTCAAAAGAATTGTTTCTTCCCGTTCATTTATTCAGCACAAAGCCAAATAATTCACGGCAAGGCCAAGATATTTAACCCAGAAATAATTCATCACATTGCAAACGAATTTAACTCATAGCCAAGCTGCCTGTCACACGCCATGATAAGGACATTCATTGCTGCAACAAAATATTATTAATATATTTTCAGAAAATTAATATTTTGTTGTGAAAATTAATATATTTTCAGAAAAATACCAGCAAATTGCAAGTTTCTTGCTGTACCCACACCCTGCCCGCCCCAACACTTACATCGCTAGCAATTGTTATTTTTTCTCAGGTGAAGGGGGAACTATTCAAAATATGAACAGGGGAAATAGCGCTAGAGCAGCTAAACTACACAAAATATACAACCAATTCATGATACAAGGAGATGTTGCACACTACACATGTGCATACAGCTGCACATGTGCATACAGCTGCACATGTGCATACAGCTGCACATGTGCATACAGCTACACATGAGCATACAGCTACTCATGAGCACGCCAGGCTCAGTACACAGCAGCAAGTCTCCACACAGAATTACCATACAATAAACATCATCGAGATATAATACATACAAATTCCTACACCATCATTACAAAACGTGATCGTTAATATTAGCCTCGTCACTATCGCCAGTCATTATTAACTTGTTGTCATCATGTGACTGTGATCATGAATGTAATACCTTCAGCTCACTATTCAGTACAAATAAAATTATCAATACATATATTCAGCAAAGATGATCAGTTAAACGGTAACTTAAACTTTGATGCCAGCAGCCGTCACGAGTTCAGCGCAATAATGCACAAGTCTAATAAACAATATATCACAATTACTAACTTCTAAATATTCCCCAGTTGCATTAAATAAATACTTCACCAATGCTTCATTGCAGCAAAATGACACGAGTTCTTTTGAAAAAAGGGCGTAGCAATCTATTCAAACAGAATTGATCCAATCTGGCTTATGTTCAAACGTATAAATGTGTATAGCATTTACGCTGCCACATATATTCCAATGTGGCAGCGCAGCAACCTATACCAATTTAAATATGAATAATATTGGTTAAGCTCCGAACCCAAATCTTCAAGTATTACTTCACCCCTCGCTCGTCCAACTTCCTAAAGTAACACTTCCATTAGATTAACACCCAATCCCCTCTCGTTACAACCACCACATACACGTGTGCCTTCCTCAACGTGACCATATCGCTGCGACTAGTGCATACAGGATATACAGATACAGATTTTGGATGGATACTCCAAAAATAACACATCTCCAACCTCTACACAATACCATTAACGGCCTCAGCAGTTGCATCTCAGCTGCAGCACTATTCATGTAACACGATTCATGTAAGTAAGATCACAAATTTATTCCCAATTTGTTAATTATTACTAACTGCATCACACACGCACATCTTCTGAACTCTTTGGTGGCTTGGCAGACATTTCTGCCAAGGGACATCCCCCTCCAGTCGCCTGATGGACGCCTCTCAGTTGCTTGCCCGCAGACAGTTACAATAAATACCCTTATGGCGGTGTGACCATAAAATCCATAGTCATTGCACCCTGCTATCAATAGAAAAATCTAAATGCTAAGATCATGAAAGTTACTCAGATTTTGGCCTAAACCTAAGCACACTAAAGCTGAGTATGTCTATGCGCTCTGAGTTACAGTGCTACCAAGACCAAAGTGGCTTGGTTATTGATTAAGATCTCTTAATATGTCACTCGTTCTTGATTGTAAATATAAACCAGAAATATGATTAACCTGAATAAGACCAAAAAAATTAATTGGAATGTTTAAACGTTTTCGGAGAATTTTAATCAAATGAAAGAATTCTACTTCCATATTAGTTTTGCTCAACATTTTTACTGATCCGTTTAGGATCACCAGAACAGCGCTGAACAATTTGAAGTTAAATGTGTACATAATCAAATTGAGATAGCATTGATCACAACAAATGTCAAGCAGCTCATGAAGCAGCTCATGTCAAAGTTCAAATCATGAATTGAATGGAGAGACAGTTTTCATTTCCCAACTTATAAAGATAGTTGCGACAGCCCTGTATGGTTGTGTCACGAACAGCAAACACACTCAGCATTCAATTGCTGTCTATGTCTCCAAGGACAAGAAATAGGGACTTCGGGCGATGCAGTCTGATGCTATCATAAAATAGAAGAAATTTAGTGTATTATCTGACCTTAGCAAGGGATAAAAGAGGGGAGAAGGAAGGGTAGGTTAAGGGAAGAAAAGGAAGAGAGCAAGAAGAAAAGAAGTAGATGCGGAGAGAACAAGGTAAAGGCTAAGAAGGTATATCCACCAGTAGAGAGGTAGACAACCTATACGGTAGGAGAAATGAGTCATCAGGAAGACAGTGGTTAGAATTATGGTGGAAGTAATGAGTTGTTTACACCAACAATATTCTGGCAGTTGGAAGGGAGGTTGAGTTTAAAGCAGAGCAGTCAGTACAAAGTGTGAACTGCTTGCTTGTAGCCAGAACATCAAGTTAAAAAACTATTTTGACAATTGGTAATTAGGCAGAAGGGAAAGAAGTATAGGTCAATGAATGCGGAGAATAATGATATTATGACATTATTCTCGTTTGGTGTTGGTGTATGAAGGGCTGCCAGCAGGTGATGCTTCCATTTAAATAGATTGCTCGACCCAAGGCAGTCCACGTATTTATTTATCACGCTACAACGAAGCCTTCAGTTCACAGCAGGATCAGCATACAGATCACTAACTGGATTGCATGACTGGACCCTCCCCACGACACTAGTTTTGTGCTCAGCGGCCGCCAGACTTGGAGTGAGATATGAGCCACTGCAGCGTGATGTCAATGTTGTCCTTCTCTTTGCAGGATATGCTGTAGCAGCAGATCTCGCGGTCCTGGATGGCGGACAGGTTCCTGCCAAGAAAATAGAACTAAGAAAGTAGCTTGGGAACACATTATGGAAAGTTTATTTGGTAATAATGCATGTGAGCAAACACGGGATATATTCATTTGATGAGATCCATTAAATTCATTATGTATATATTGCTAATATACTACAGACATTCTTTCAATGAGGCCCTTTTCGTCAAGGGCATTTGGCAGGTCCCGCTTGTTGCCGAGCACCAGCACAGGGATGCCCGTCAGCTGGGGCTTGTCCAGGAGGTTGTGCAGCTCATTGCGTGACGCTTCTATCTTCTCTGGGTCTGCTGCGTCCACCATGTACCTGTCATGGTATGATGCATTCAATATTAATTGTCACTAAGCTCATATCATACCTTCACTATTTATTTTCACCATGTACCTGTCATGGTATGATGCATTCAATATTAATTGCCACCAAGATCTTATCATAGTTTCACTATTTATTTCCAGCATGTACAAATCATGTTATGATGCATTCACTATTTTTACCAAATAGAGCTTGCTGTGTCATGATGTCTGGTTTCAGAGCAGCTGTAAGGTATGTTTGATTTCAAACAAAAAGCTTTTGCCCAAATTGAATAAACCATAAGTAATTATATTGTTTAACTTTCCAACAGACATGAATGAACCACCTATTTTGAAGAAAATGCAGGTGAATACAATATATTCAGCAATTGAATTTTTATTGATAGAGCAACATAAGGCTATGATCCACAGAGAGGCTAATTTACAGACTGCTTCATGAAATCTGTGCCAAGTTCAGGAAGAAATCAGGAGGCAATATTTGTAGGATCTCTGTGACTCTACTGATTCTGGCAACATGACATTTTCAGGTGGCCAGGTCTTATTGGCTCTGAGTAAACATCAGCCATCTCTTTTCACTTGCTGCTTGATGAGCTTAATCTTATCTAATATAATCTTCTAGGGTGATAATAATTTAAAATTTTATGTCTGTGCTGTGCTTTCCATCACTGCTTTCATTGGAACTGTTAGCCTCTAGGATTGGCACCAAAATTTTTTAAATATATTGTGTGACTAGCAAATGGTTACAAATATTCACAACAAGGAAACTCACAGAATGCCTGGTATACAGTGAAAGGGAAATAAATATTCGTACACTTGAAAAATAGTATTTTATTGTATGTAAGTACACAAACTTAACAGGAAAAGTGATTTAAATTATGTACAGAGACGCATAGTATTCAAAAATACTATCAAAAAAAATTAAATCTCAATGCAACAAAAAACAATGCAACATGTTCACTTTTCGGGTGAAAAAAGTATTCGTACAAAACAATAAATCCGCATTATTTTAATTTAATACTTGGTTGACAAGCCAGTCGCCGGACTTAAATCCGATTGACAATTTGTGGCGGTATTTGAAGATTCAAATTAAGAAAAGGTCCCCAACAAACATTGAGAATCTTAAGGTGGTGTGCCAAGAAGAATGGTATAAAATACCAGTCAGCATCTGCAAATCAATGGTCGAGACGTATAGAAATAGACTGGTGTCTGTTGAGCTGAATAAAGGGTATTCAACCAAGTATTAAATTAAAATAATGCGGATTTATTGTTTTGTACGAATACCTTTTTCACCCCGAAAAGTGAACATGTTGCATTGTTTTTTGTTGCATTGAGATTTAATTTCTTTTGATAGTATTTTTGAATACTATGCGTCTCTATACATAATTTAAATCACTTTTCCTGTTAAGTTTGTGTACTTACATACATTAAAATACGATTTTTCAAGTGTACAAATATTTATTTCCCCCCACTGTATATGCTGATAAATGGAGCATAAGTAAAATAGTGCCTATAATCAATTGATAATTTGATGTCTTACAAAAGTATGTAAGTTGCACAAGTCAAGAAGAATAATGTACACAACTTTCCTTGATCATAACTACTATAGTACAGGAGCAGATATTTTTATTGCTTTGCATTGATTGCACCTTAAATACCTGGAGAAGCAAGAACAAATTCAGAGTATTATCCCATTTACAAGTGGAGTTAGGCCAAACATACTAGTGAAAAAATGACATAGGAACTAGCCTAGCCTTAGCCTGTCTGAGGTATCTTGGCCATAAACTCAGGCCAATAGATCTATTAAGTTACTAATGGTAACTCTACAGAGGGTTAATGATGGGGAAAAACATTACACACTGTATGATAGAACAATCAATAATTTGGACAACCTACAATCTAAAATTAAACAAAACTATCTTTACAGTTTCAAGTGATTCAAAGTATGTAAATTTAATGTAGCAAAAATTAGACTGAATAACAATATAATTTTGTGAAATTTAGCAATTTTGAATTGCTATATTCAACAGTAAAGTTTGAAGGAGGTAAACCAAGGGATTTTTGCACTGACACAATAGCATTGACGCCACGGCAGTATCGCTCCCACATTGAGCGGAAGCGAGGCTGTCCTCCGATGTCCCAGACCTTAATGGTGACGTTTCCTTTTGTTATTTTCCGCATGTTGAATCCCACTGTGGGTATCATGTCCTCGCTGAACTGACCTGACTGAAGAGAGCTCATCGTTAGCCAGAGAATAGATTGCCAAAATGAGAAAACACAATACAAATGCCATGAATATTGAAAAAGAAAAACCAATAAACACCATACTAATGGATAACATATTTGAAGATTGTGCTAACATTCTGAAATTCAAGTTTCCTAGCAACAACATCACAAATATTCAAGAGAAATTAACTGCATTTTTAACAGTTACCTACATGAGGGTAAGCTCAATTGTACTTCATACAACAAGTGACAATGACAGAATACTAATAGATCAGTTTTTCCAGCCACAAGTAGTTCCTTAACCATCATGGGCTTGCTGGCACGCAAGAACCTTTTTTAACTTGCACAACCCCCTCGGTCAACCATTCATTTATCAACTGGAAATAGATGAATGTCTGATTTGCCATGAGCTGAGCTTCCTGAAAGAACGTGTCTTGATCCAAAGCAGAAGCAAAATCTCTAACCACTGCAACTTCATGCCCACTTCATGACAGCTTAGCAGTAAATTTTATATAAATTTTACATTGATTAATTATAAGTCCCCTGCAATTAGAAATTCTAAGAATTCCACTCATTAGTCCCGTTTAGTTAATAGTCAAACTGGGATTTGGATTATTGGAGTAGACCCAAGTGCTGTAAATATTCAATAATGAGTAAAGTAATTGTGGTCACAATATGACAATATATGCATTCATGATATTAATAAAGAGTTTATGTTCTAGTCCACCTTATTCATAACAAGAAGATACCGCAACCTACAACCAAAACAGGGGAAATGTTCATCAAAATATCAACTGAATAAACAAGAATTGGATAAATTTCTGACAGAATGGTTTTTGGCGCATTTTCTCATTTATGGAAAAAAGGCACTATTGTGCACATCATGTCAGTCCGTCACTACATGTCTGCACGCTTTGATAAAATGTGCTCCCTGTCACTCACTGCAGTGGGTACTGATCCTAATTTTCTTTAATTTAATGGTTGTTTCTGGATCATCGTAATAATTTTATTAGTGATTGGAAATTCCTTTAATTTGGTCAGGTTGGAACTGTAGCGTCATGGGTGTTACTTATTTATATTATTTGTGAGCCAAGCTGAGTCTTGGAGTCAGTGTGCCACTCTAGAAGCAATCTTAATTACCAGCATCGCATGGAATTTACGAGCGCGCCGCCCAAATTGGGAGCGCAGCAACATCACCCAACCTTCCATCACAAAAACTCAGTGGTACTGTGGTTACGGATGTAGGTACGTAAGCTAGCAGACCGCCATTTCAGCCCAGCAGCCATTCAGCCAGTCATCCATTTTTTCTTTTTTCTTACATGACCAATCTTGCCTGACCAAGTCACATGGCAATATTAAAAATATATAGCTTCTTATCAACTGTTTAAAGCCAATTAAAATTTTAAATAATACATTTATAACATAACTCCAAAATACAGAATGTTTCATGTGATAAAAAAGTATAAAACAATTTATTTAAATAATTTAAAGAGACGTTACTTAAGAAAGTTCCCACGCTTCTGCTAGTGGGTAAGAGTGTCATGCACACCCACCTTATATGACCTGACTAACCATGGTAAGACTCAGTCACTCACTTCTCTTCAAAATTTAGGAGTCACTGCTTTACACTACATTTCAAAGCAAAGCCCAATATCGAATTGAATAAATTAGAAATGCACTTCAAGTTCAAACACGTACAGTCCATTTGGCTTTGCTTGGCATATGGTATGGTGGCCGGCTGCGCTCACCGCCGCTCACTTTGTTTACATTAGACGAACAGACGACGATTGAACTTGTTTTGAAAGTATATATTTTCTTTTGACCGTCTTATGTCATAACTCATAACAAAAATGCATACTATTGGTATGATTTTAATTTTATGTAGTATCTTATATTATTTTCCAGCATTGTATGGTTATTTTTGTTTAATTAATTATGGATAATTTATTAATCAAACTTTTATTCAATGAGCTTGTCTGTATAAATAGTTACTAGTTATGAAGGGCGTGTTACTAGTTATTACTAGTTACTAGTTATGAAGTTAGGACTTGTCTTAGAAGGGCTGACAATATTTTATTGTTAACATCATGGATGTTTCGACTATATTAACTGATAATCACCATTTTTAAATGACCGCATCAATACTTTTGGGACAAATTTTTACGTCTCAAGTCCCAAACTTTACGACTTTGAACTAAATGGCAATGAAGCTATTTAACCCTTTCCACCCGGCTATATGATGGAAGTTATTTTATGTGTATTTTTTGTGTTAATTACGCTCTATGGACCTCTATTATAGTTTCTATGCTACAAAAATATAAAAAAATCAATTAATATAAAAAATAGTGATCCGGGACTCCAGAGTCCCGTCAGGGCTCGCGATACATGTATTAATCGTATAGCCATCACACGCGATCCCTTGTATTATGCTCCAAGATCTGTAAAATATGCACTTATTAACAATAATAATGTAAAATAAAACACGTTGTGCAGTAAACATTTTTTACTTACAAAATTAACACAAAAAAAATAATAAAATAATAGCTTTTCAGCATAAAAAGTAGCTGATTTTTTTTGCTCTGCTGATACAATTGATACAGTGTAGGAGCTAATTAGATATTTATTATCAGTAAGTATATAGAAAAAATAATCTGAATGAAATAATAATTTATGACGTAGAATAATAACTTTGGCTTATGTGACAAGCTGAGATAAAATCATAACTGAATACATTAGATTTCCTTTATCGCACGCGCATTTGCACGCTTCCCTAGCTACTTGTGAAACTCGCCAAAACAGATTTTTGACGTTGCAACAAATATGAACGCCACATTGAGAACATTTGGATAATGGAAGTGATTCCACTTTATCCAGGGAACAAACTTCACAACGACCACGAATGTTCGTGAACAGGGGCCAGTGATTTCCAGGGATGCTCAACCGCACGGAGTCCGGTGTCGAGAATTTTCCTTTTTTCCTCTTGGCATGATGGGTGCATGAATGTTCTGTATATGCCAGGAGTTCTCATGCTATTTCTTGTCGATATTCCAAGAGGGAAATGGCAGACTGACAATGTTCCTTGTGAATGAGGAAGCTGTTTACGATTGTCATATCTAACAGTCCGAAGAATATGCGATGCCACCATTTCAAGCTCTTCCTATTGATGCCATAGATTTGCCTTAGCATGTCATGCTTATCAACACCCCCCATGTGTTTATTATAATCTTTTGCCACCATTGGACAGGTGACAACCGTTTTTGTGCCAGTTTTGTCCTTCCTTTGCACAGTAGAAGCTTCAACTCCGTGGTAGTTGGAAATGAAATGTACTGGTTTTGTATCCTTCCACTTGTAAACTGTTATTCCTGCAGGAGTACTGCGGTAATCGAAGTTCCCTTGTTTCAACTCTTTATCAGTAGATAACAAGGGGAAGTCTTTGCGAGTTGGACGGATTGTACCACATGCATTTATGTTCATGGTCTTCTAGGTTTCAAGCAGGGGAATAGATGAAAAAAGTTATCGAAATAGAGCTTGTGCAAGCAGTTCTTCAATGAAGCGACAAGAGATGTAACGATGTTGCCACCAAGGCCAAGGTTATTATTGACCATTTCGGCATCTGGCTGCCGCTTTCCACAATAAATGAAAAACTTGTGTATGTATCCAGAGTCATCAGCGAGACACCATAATTTGTATCCTCGCTTTATGGGTTACATTGGGTTGTATTGCTGAAGAGAGCTCCTTCCCTTGAATTTGATCATGGACTCATCCACAGACAATAATTCTAGAGGATTATTTACTGTGGAAAATCGTTCATTTAGTTTTTCAAGATACGGTCTCAATTTGAATAACACGTCGTGCTTATTTTCATTCAGTTTTGCATTGTCGTTTAGATGCAGACATCCTAGAATTTCAACGAAACGGTCACGAGACATTGCTGCTTGAATGATAGGTACACCCATATCTTGAGATGAGGACCAATAATGTCAGAGCTGATTTCTTCTATTGTAGCCCATCACAATGTTGATTCCAATGAATACTTTTATTTCGTTTTTTGTCACAGAAGCAGGCTTCCCCTTTTGTACACTTTTCAAATTAGTCTAGAAGTGAATCATATCAAGAAGATCCTCATCAAAAATGCAAAAAACATCGAGGGCGCATGCAAATTCATGATTTAGTTTGGGATGCGCGACAAACTCATGGACAATTGATTTTTCTTCTTTTTTTCTCCATTTTCGTGGATGTACACCTATCACAGGAGTCTCAGAAGCTGCATCAGTTGTTATAATCTCCGCTTGTTCATCCAATTCAACGATAATGGGTTCATCTTCGGCTTCCGCATCTAATCAGTACACGATATGAATGGTTTCTGTGGGGTCTTGATCATCAGGCTCAATCAGTCAATGTCGGTATCTTCGTGAATGTCAGTATCAATTTCGTCCTACAGATGAAGTATTTCATCGGCTTCCAATGACCGATTGGCCATGTTTCAGGAAGAAGTGCTCAAGTCTGAAAATAAAATAAGTTACAACATAAAAGTGCCGTGGTGTAAAAAAATGAATACGAAATCGATGGGAGCAGTAAGAATTGGAATTCTCAGTAGTATTCCTACCTAGTAACACAAACGACACGCGACTCCTACTGGGACTATCAGGTCCCGGTTCTCCTGGCGGGACTTGCAGGTCGTTTTCATAATTTCTATTTTTTACATCAAAAACAGTCTTCCAAATACATTTATTTGTTATATTTCGTTAGAATATAAATTTTTACACAAAATAAAACAAAAAGTAACTAAATCCATGTTGAATATAAACAGTTATGATTAAATATTCTGAGAGAAAAAGGAAACTTACTGTCATTCTCAGCCGGCTGATGCAATTGCCTTAGAAATCTCACTGGGTGAGCCGGTTGCCAATTAGTAATTTTCTTGAGGTGTATAAACGAACGTAGAAGTCCCGTTAGGTGCCTGGACCTAAAATTCCTTGTTGCATGTATTTTAGAGCGTG